CTACAGTTCAGAGCATCTGCCCCCTGGTGGTCAGTGCACGTCATAGCAACTGGTCAACCGGTTACTGCCCCGGGTGGTCAGTGCACGTCATAGCAAGCAGTTGAATGGCCTTAGCATATCATTAGCATATTACGCTTTGATTGGTTGAATGGCTGACCGGAGGACCAGACACTTAGCTTATTAGGCTTTTATTATATAAGATTTTATTTTGGGGAGCCTCTTTTATTTTAAAGTTTATTTTTCCATTTGTCTTCATGTCATATAGGTTCTACAACCACAACTTCTGGCTAAATTAAAATTTTAGGGAAGCACAAAGACTATGGAACAAAAAGACAGAAATAAAAGAAACAAGAGTTCACATGTTTTTCATCATTTAGAAAGCAATGCTATAAACTCAAATGCCTTTTCCCCAATACTAGAGGGGAAGTAGGGGATTCTTTTTCCTCTATGGGCCTCATTTCAGGATTAAGTTGTATGACTCAGCAACTAGGTCAACTCAAATTGCAGACCAGATTGGCAGAAGAGAAGCAACCTAAACAAAGTAAGTGTAGGAAAAGGAATGTGAGCTCTCTCTGCATATGATGATCTTCTGAGTTCACTTCCAAGGAATAATCAACAGTAAAGGAGATGAATGATAATTGAACCTGAACTCCTAAAACTATCCCCAGAGATCAATATTCTCTTTATAAGTAACTGCCATAGCTGTGCTCAAACAATGGCCCATACTTAGTACATGCACATATTAATGAGATGAATGGGCCTACTCTCATAAACACTGTGTTTTTTTTGTTCTTTACATTTGAGGATAGAGGTTTTATTCTATGAGCTAGAACAACTCTTCTCAAAGTTCAGTGTAAAAACAGAGCACTTTGAGATCTAGGTAAAGATGCAAATTCTAATTCAGCAGGTCTAGGATGGGGTTTGAGGTTCTGCATTCCTTATTCCTAACCAGCGCAGAGGTGACATGGATGTTGCTGGCCCATTGACCCCATTTTGAATAGCATGGAGATAATAAAGCAGCCAGTCCTATACTCTGAATTTTCCTAGGTTCTCTCCTCACTGTCACCTTTCTTGAACCAAGGTTATGGGTTGAATCGTGTCTCCACCCAATATATATTTTAAAGTCCTAACCCTAGGACTTTAATTTGGAAATAGGGAGGGTCTTTACAGAGATAATTAAATTAAAATGGTAAGTTCTAATCTAAGTACTGGTATCCTTATGAATTCTGGTGTTCTTATAAAAAGGGAAAAATTGAGACACTCATGCACAGAAGGAAGATGGTACAAAAGACACCGAGAGAAGATAGCTATCTACAAATCTAAGGCTACTGGAAACTGAGAGAGGCCTGGAACAGATCCTTTCCCAACACCTTCCCTGTTGACTTGCTAGCACCTTGATTTTAGACTTCTGGTCTCCAAAGCTGAGATAGAATTAAGCAACAGAACATTTCTGTTGTTTCAGCCACCCAGTCTGTGGAACTCTGTTATGGCAGCCTTGTGAAAGTAGCATAGCTACTGTATTAACTACTTTCCCATGACACCTCTTCTTCCTTCTCTCTGACACATGGGGAACATTTCAGTATATCACAAAATTTAGGACCATGTGAGGAATGTGAGGCCAACATCCCACACACAGATAAGGCGACACAAAGGGCTAGGTCATGTTTCTCAGGGTTGCCTAAGATGAAAGCCTGGGTTGGTCCTATAGGTATTGATCACTACACAGGTTAAATGTTCTGTTCATGATGTCTGTTGTTAATGCCCCTTAGAAGTCAAGAAAGTTGACTCTGAATACTTTCAAGGGATAGATCTTGAAATTTTTGTGAATCTCTAAATTCTCATATACTTCTATAGAATATAATTCCCTTCAAGAAATGAAGGAGAACTAAAAACTTGGGGTGGCCCCTTAATAATTTTGGAAAATACAGGATTAAAGTAAATTATAAAGGCACTGAAACAATTTTACAAATCACTGTGTTGTCACTGCTGTTGTTTCACCACACATTTGGTGGATTTATTTTGACAGAGATTACCAATACTGCCAAGTTTGCATTCCATGATTTATTAAAACTGTGATTGTCTATGAACTCCCATTGAATTTACCTCTGCTCATCTATTGTTCATCATTAGCAGCCCTACCAATTGCATTTCTTTTCAGAGACATTTTTCTACAAAATCTTTCACATTATGAGAGTTATTAAGCTTGCAATGAACAAAAGCATAAAAAAACAACCCACACTGATTTATATGTGAGGGTGTAGGCAAGAATGAAATAAGCTAAACTCACTCACCAGTATCCCTACAAATCAGCCTCACACCAAACATGATCCAAACACATTCCTCAGCAAAAGGACAAATTAGCTACAAGGTATTGTAGACCTTTGTTCCACTTTAGAAGAGTAGAAAGTCATGCTGACAAGTTCCATGAAAGTCGAGGGTGTTAAATTCTTGATTGCAACCCCTAGCCATAAGATTTCTTTTGAATATAGTTCATCCTATTTTTTATACCTTCCATGGCTCCCAACGGGGGGGTGGTACCACTCCCTCGAGAGGTGTTTGGAAAAGTGTAGGAGTGATAGGAGTGTTTGAGTTTCCATAACAAATGGAGGGAGTTATTGGCACTTTATGATAGGAAACTAAATAAAGCAAAGCAAGAGATAATAAATGTTTGCCCCTCACCAAATGCCAAAGGCTCTTCTTTGTTGAGGCCCTCATCCCATTTGGACATTTTTTTTAAGATTAATGGTCTTTCCAGTTTAAGCTCTGAGTTCACCTTTTGACTTCTACCAGGAATCATGCTGACTTCATACATCTCTATCTCTCAGAGTTGACAGGTGTGTCATTCCTTTGTGTGTTCAAAGAACACTGGTTTCTCACTCTACCCACTCTATGGACTTAAGAACATATGCTAAAGAACATATTGCATTGCCCTAGCTGGTTTGGCTCAGTGGACAGAGCATCAACCTGCGGACTGAAGGGTCCAAGGTTTGATTCCGGTCAAGGGCACATGCCTGGGTTGTGGGCTCCATTCCCAGTGTAGGATGTGCAGGAGGCAGCCAGTCAATGACTGTCTCTCATCATTGATGTTTCTATCTCT